CACTTCAACAGCCAGATTATAAAACAATACAAAAACAAAAAACCCCATCTCTCTCACCTTTCCTGGATGCTGCTTCTTTCCTCAGTTTGCGCAGCTTCTCCAGAGATTTCAGAATGTCGTGCATCCTCTTGATGTCGGCTTGTTTCTTCCTCACTTCACCGAGAACCCCGTCTGCAGCCAGCTTCAGCTCTTGCGCCTAAAAACACAACAATGTATGAATCTTCAGAAAGTGATTTTTTTTTTAACCAAACTAACCTAAGAAACAATGATGCGACAATGTGAAGTCACCTTTTTCTTCTCCTCCACTTCACGTCTCTTCTTCATCATCCATGCATCTGCAGCAGCTTCTTTCTGTCGGAGGTCTTCCTGTCTCTGTTTCATTTCCTCTTGGAGCAGCTTTTTGGCCCTCAGTCTCCGGGCTCCTTTCTTCTGGATACGAACCAATCTGGCCTTAAAATCCTTTATAACGTTTTCATCACTGATTAATTTCATTTTTTCATCGAGCTCTTTTTTTATGCTCAAAGCAGACTCATACGAGTCCGTCCACACAGTGTCACTCTGAATGTTGTCTTTAAGTGTCTCACAGGATTTTTCCAGGGCCTGGACAAGCTGGACGGCACCGTACAGAGCTTCTTTCATGATGGGAACAGTTATGTGAGGAAGCCTCTGCTCGGGCCGAGTCTCTGGACTTTTTGGTCCTCTCGTCCTTCTCTCCAGGAACCGTCTGATCCACAAAATGTCCTGTCTCCTCTCTGCAGTGGCTTCATCTTCTGTCTCCGTATATGCCACTGACGGCATTGTCGGTCTTTGGTCAAAAGCATTAAAAGTCGGAGGAGCGCCGTAACCTCTGGTTTCGCGAAAATCCTCATAATTCTGCTGCTGCTGCGTCTCGCTGGAGCCCATAAACGGCGGAAAATCATCATAACTGGGCTGAGTACCGACCCCGAACGGCGGGACGCTGCTGAAACTGTTTCCCGGAATCGATGGCGGGGTGTTAGGGTAACAGCCGAAAGGA